TTGAAGTCTCCAAATACTCTTCAAGGGCTGCCCCATGTAGAGCGCATTGCAGTAGTCCAGTCTTGAGGTCACGAAAATTAATACTTGATTACCATCGTATTCGCAAATAGTTGCTAACGGAGGTACTGTAATTGTTAAATAAGAGCAGGTGTACTTCATTTAAAAGTGTATCCATAGGAAAAATAAAGCAGAAGAAAGCTGACATTTTGACAAGTATTCTAGAATTCTAAAGATAATGGTAGTAAGTAATTGCACTACTGCAGTCTGGCCACATTCATTAGGTCAGTCATTTAGTCCAAATCTCAAACATGCCTATTAGTTAATTCATGCTATTTATTTAAACTATGGGTGGCCAACTCTAGGCCACAATGATTGAAAAGGAATTATCTTGGGCTACATATAAATATATACAAATAATCCATGGGTTACGAGCATTCCTTTGGTGACTGTTCGAAATTACGCGATAAGCATCCCCTAGCACCGTGATGGTGAACCTATGGCACGCGACCCATTTCTTAGGACACGGGAGGCATTACCCTGTCAGCTCCAGTGTGCATGTGCACTAGTCAGCTGACCTTTATTTTTCGCCATTTTTCGCCCTCCAAAGGCTTTAAGCCTCCAGAGGGCAAAAAACAACACAATGCACAAACCAGAAGTTCAGGAACAGACTTCCAGTTTGCATGTTGGGTTGTGCTTTGCAACAGCTGGCTTGGTGGAGCGACGCTGGCGGGGTCGGAGGGAGGCATAGCCCAAGCTTTCTGGGACCGATAAGCAAGAATGGGGAGGCGAAGGGGAGATAGAAGAGAAGAGAGCTGGGCAGAAGCCACAGGAGGGGTAAAGCGGCAGCCAAGGGGGCGAGGAGGTCCCAGCTTGCACTCAGGAGCGAGGGCGCCTTTAGGCTTGCAGCTTTCTCAGCGCCATTACAAATCGTGCAGGGACTGCGGCCCCGATGCCCAGCACCTTCCACCCACATCAGCTGCCTTTGGAGGCAACAGAAGCAACTGCTTTTCTTGGTGGGGTGGCTTGTGACCTCCCCTTCTGCTGGGCCAAAAGCAGCTGACCTGCGAGGGTGCCCTTCCTCGCCATCATTTGCGGGGCTAAAAAGCCGCATGAAACAGTCTCTCCCACCCCGGCTCGCCTGTCTCTTTAATTTGCACCTCTTTGTCTCCCCCTGAAATGACCTCATCCTCAATAGAAAGCAATTGGGAAAGATATGTGTGTGTGTTTATGTGTGTGTTTGGGAGTGGGGAAATAAGGTAAGGAGGAAGAACAGAGGCTTCTCAGCTCGCTCTGACCTCCCAAATAGCAGAAGTTCCTGTGTTGGGATGCCCCGCCTTTTCCTCCCTTTCCCATGTTGGGGGGAGGGTGCTGGAGGGTGGGAATCTGATGTCTGTAAGGAGGCAGATGAGCCCAGAAGCAGTGCACCCATGAACCCCAGCTGGGCGGAGGGACACAGGGTCTGGGAGAGAAGAGAGCGCCAAAATGCCTCCCTTCTTCCTCCTTATCTTATTCTCCCCCCTCCACATCACATAAACATACAAATCCTTTCCCAATTGCTTTGTCCCGCTCTGACCCTTTAGGCAAAGAGGCACGATTTAAAGAGACAGGCAAGCCGGGGGGGGGGGGAGGAGGGAGGGAAGCGACAACAGCCCCGGCACATATTCCTCCTCACCCACACATATTCCTCCTCGCCCATTGTGGCTGCCAGGGCTTCTCCTTCATAATGGGCTCCAGGAGGAGGAGGGAACCCCATCTCCCCCATTGGGAGCTCTGCCAGAAAAGCCATCTGGGAGGTGAGAGCGAGCACACACTCTCTCTCCCTCTTTCTCAAGTCCATGGAGGGAGATTTCAGAGAAGTTCTATGGCCAGTGGGGCGCCTCAGCCCAGCGCTGCTCCCTCAGTGGGCTTGAAGGGAAAATAAGCCCCCCTGCGATGTCAAAAATGTTCACCATCACTGCCCTAGCATTTATGAACAAGTCCTGAAACTACAAATTTTACAGCAACACGGCAGTTGTTCGCCTTTACGAACAACTGCAGAAGCTCTTCAGCATTCATCCAGCATGTTGCATGTCAAAATGGAGCTTCCAAGCCCCCCCCCCCCCGGCCCATTGCAGGCTGAAATGGAGCTTCTGGGGGTGTATTTCCCCCTCCAATACTCCATTCAGGCCTGTGTGGATCGCCTGAAAGCTCCATTTCGGCCTGCAATGGGCCAGGGGACACCTCCAGAAGCCCAAACAGCGCATTGGAGGGGTGCATACAGCTGTGATGCTAGAGAGGAGATTGCTTGCTAGATCTTCACAAGGTCAGTGACCCGGCACAGTAAGTTGGGTGGGTGGGTGGGTGAAGCAATTGTGGGGAGCATGAAGTATTTCAGTGGGTTGGGGAAACCTTGAATGGCCTTAGGTAGGTGCCCTGTTCCATCACTAGGTTCCCCCATGGCCTTCCCCACCCTGAAATACCTCATGTGCACTTAACAAGCCTCACATTTGATTAGAGAATGCGTGGGCGAAAGGACGGAGTGATCCCATTCAAGGTACGAGATTCACTCCCAAGAATCTTCGGGTTACAAATGGAATGGTCATTCCATCCGTAACTCAAGGACTACCTGTACAATATAATCAGGGGTGGGTTGCTGCCGGTGTTACTGTCGGTTTGGTGCGTGCTCTGCATGTGTGCACAGTTGCCTGTAAATAGGTCTGCACATGCGCAGAACATTAAAAAACGGCAAAACAAATGCTGCGGCAACCTGGGAACCAATTCAGAGGCGTGGCCAGCCTGGATTGCCGCTAGTTCTGCGACCCAGGCCAACATTCCACTACTTGTTCACCCAAACCGGTGCGAACCGGTAGCAACCCATCTCTGAATATAATTAATAGTATATAAATAACTTCCTTTATTTTAAAATATTTTTAATGATCTTGTGGAGCCAGATTACTAGCTATCCAGGGCCGCATGCCCCCATTGGCCATGAATTGGCCATGCCTAATTTAAATTACAAGTAGTCAATGTAAAGTCCAGAAGATGGTTTGAATGGTCATCTAAGTAAGTAGTACGTAGTCCTCGCTTAAATCATTCAGCAACCATTCAAACTTCTGATGGCACCCCACAGTTACATGATCAAAATTGACAAGCAGCTCACTTTTATAACTACAGTGTGCACTTCATCTGCTCCATCCCTCATCTTAGTCCTTTTGGGTACCCTGCCTTTTAGGCCAAAAATCTCTAGGTCATGCAATGGTTTTGTTTCAGAAACTATATCATACCACATGAGTAAAAAAGCAATTATGTAAAGTCTAAATTATATAAGTTGGAACCTGAGCTTGTTTTAACCATCTAAAACAGGGATTGATAGGCCACATGTCTCCTCTGGCCACCAGCTATCTCTGTTAGTGCCTACCAAGTACCCTAACATGATTTTTTTTAAAAGTTGAAAATAGATTTGTTACAAACTTGAGCCCCATCTATTTACAAAGGGGATGGACAGTATGTGATTTCAAACTGCTCAAGCTGTAACTTCCATTATTCTTTATCACTGGTCATAGTGATTGAAACTTATAAATCTCAAAAACATCAACATCTAGAAGACCCCATGTTTTCCATCTTTGATTTACCATACTGCCCCAGCCCTGAAGGAACATCATATAACTTCAAACAAAATGTGCACCTACAACAGAGAATGTTGACTGCAATGTTTCCACCGTCACTACTCCAAAATCAAAGATATAATGTAAAATATGAAATGTTTAGGCTGGAGGAAAATTATATATCCTTGGAAGGAAGCCAAACAAACTATTATTTGGTAAAAAGTTTCTTTTTGATTAATCCTAACCATCACATTATTTATCAAATGTTTATACCACTCTTCTCATTATCTAAGTGACTCTGGGCAGTTAATAGATTAGAACTATAAAACTTTATTAAAAAGACATAATGAAAGATATTTGGAACAGGAAACTTATGGAACTAAAACTTATTTTCAAATGTGCTTTCTCTGATAAAAGACTAGATATAGTCGATCAACACAAAAAAGCCCAAGATACACAGAATTAGCAAGCCAAACCTTCCAATGCAAAAAAGAAAGAAATATTACCTTGAAGCAGAGCTTATCGCTGATTACTTCCCTCTAGTAATTATGCTCTAATATCCATTTCTGGCATAGAACAATGAAGTACAACTCTGTAAAAACAATGAATTAGATCAGTATCAAAATAAAGGTGTGAAAAAGAAAAATATTCTATTCCTAACATTTAAATTTGGATAATGAATCTAAACTTGATTTTTCAGCCCTAATTCCAGTTTTGCTAAATACATGCCTTAAAAGCCCTGATTTTTTTAAAGGTGAAGGTTTATGATAAACTAGTAATTTATTTAGACCAAAGATTTATCTATTCTCAACAAATACTTCTTAAAGCTTACAAGCAGGTATTAATAAATTGTTAAACTCACAAGCATTGAAATACAACCTTAGTAGCTAATTCAAGTAATCTGACTATAGCTGTAGATAGTCCTCTTCATGACTTTTGTCTTTTAAGCTCCTTCCTTGTTTATTTATTTATGGCATTTGGGTCATTCCATATCAAGTGGTCTGGGGGTCCCTGCTCGACAATCATGGATTTCGATGAAATTTTGTGTGAACATGCACACATATTCCCAATGAACATTGGTAAAGTGTTACATGTGCCAATGCAATACTTGCGGAGATGAAAGTAACCGTCCCCTTCATCCCAGGAATTGAAAATAATTTTAATAGCTTATTACCATCTCTTAATACAACAGATACTATCTTCTCCTCATAATTCATCACTTAGTTAAAAAGCAAAAAGCATAATGCTTTTCATTTGTTCTTTATTAGCAAAAGTCTTTCAACAAAATATTGCCAGAGATATTATGTCTCAAAGTTGCTGGAGCCTCAGAGTCATACTGTAGAAGGCTGTGGTATGCGGTCAAACAAATGACTATTTCTCCCTCCCCTTTGAAACTTGCTTTCTTTTTCTCCTATTTTTTTGTAGTTTGTATAACTACATTTGTAAAGTGTAAAAGTATCTGGAAAAAGAATAAACCAGTAAATCTGACATAAAATAAGGCACTGTAATTACTGTTAGCTGTTTCCGATAATGCTGAAACAGGGCTATGAATAAAAGAAGTAAAATGAGTCAATTAAAAACTCATGCCCTAGTCATCTGGCAGCTCTCTACGCTTCTGCACACAGAAGTAGCACTTCTGCTTCATGAGCTGCACTAGCTGCCAATTTATTCCAAGTGTGGTTTTAAGATTCTGGTTGTTACCTATAAAGCCTACATGACATAGGGCTGTCTCCCATAACCTAGTTGATTCAATCCTGCAGCACTGGTGCATTCAGGTTCCTTCAATTAAAGAGTGTCATTTTTTAGGACCCTAGAAGCACATCTTCTCTGTAGTAGCACCTGCACTCTGGAACTAGGTTCACCCCAAGATCTGGATAGCTTCCACTCTACTGTTATTTAGAAGAGTCGTGAAGATTTGGCTCTTCAGAGAAGTCTTAGACAAAAGAGAGTGAGACTCCTTACTTCATGCTTGCCATTTAAAAAAAAATGCATATATTGATTGTTGTGAGCTGCCCAGAGCCATTGAGAGTTAATACAAGCTTCATATATCACTATTATTATTCTAGCAAAGCCAGCCCATAGAAATTAAAAGAAAATTATTACCCAGCATATTTGCATATAATGTGTGATAAAGTATACAACTTCCTTCATGCTATGTAGTAAGGAGTTATATAATCTTTTTGACTATTTCTGATCCCTAAAGCACAACAGAAATCATCATACATTTGTTCCAATCTTAATTAAGAGTTAATTTTATTTTTATGTACATGACTTGTTCACATATTACCTAAATTTTCATGATAAAGCAAGTTTGATACATATCATCTGATTATTCCAGCTTTTCCTCTTTTTTCATACTGGTGTATTGAATAAGCAGCTGAACTAGGTTTCCTAGTTTGTTACTCTTAATGCAACAAGAAACAGCTCAAAGGAACCATCCAGAGTACAGTACTAATCTCATAAAAAAATCTTTTCCTGATCTTTTCAAACAAGAATTATATTAAGAATTCTTAGGTCACATTCAGTGCTCAATAAAAAGATGTACTTAATGCGAAACCACAAGTGCTTCTCAAATCTGCTTTGTAAGATTGAGAGAGTCCATGGATTAAATTTAAAAATAAAATTTTAAATACTATGAAAATATTTCATGATTTCCATTATCAATGATCAATACCAGAAATTATAAAATAGGCTATAAAAATTAACTACAGTACCAACATTAAACTTTTAAAACTGCAAGTGATTTTTTTCTACTCTATCTCCTTATATTGAAAGACTGTATCAGAACAAAAAACTCCTAAAAATTACTGCCTAACAAAAATATATTACAACCCAACAACATTTATTCCATTTATCACATATATAATAAATCATTTAAAAATAAAATTGATCCTTTAAAGATTTTAAAATAATTTACAGAATGACATTTTGGTGCATGAGACACAATAAAGCATTGTTTGTTGTTGCAGACTTTAAGCAAAACTTGCATCAAATGTCTGATGTTACTATTAACATTATATCATTTATTAAGTTTTAATAAACTTACAAACCGCAGGATGATAAATTGGGCTTGTTGCAAAACCATGTTTTTATTGCATAGAGATCTTCAATCCTACTGGTAAAGACTGAATGCTATGCAACTTGTTTTCCATACTAATACTATTGCTGTGTATTTCATCATCTCAGTACCAATTCGTAGTGTTAAAAGGACAATTGAGGATCCCAAGATATCTCTGCTTTGTTAAATGGGAAAAAACTAAATGAAAGCATTCTGTGTGAATCTCTAAAACCAGAGAAAACTGTACTTCAGAGTTCCCATGGCAGAATCACCATAGCCCATATTTTTTTGAATTATGAACCATCTAGAGTCAACCTAGAGTTTGATGGAACCAAAATAGAAATGAATAGTTCTCTTTTACATATATACTATTATATGATTTAAGATAGCCTATTCAGCTGAATTAGCCCACAACAGCACACAATTTCCAACTACGTTGGAATGTTTTAACCTTTCTTCTTTTATGTCAGCTCTGTCTGTAATAAAGGTTTCCTCATCCATGATTTTGATTATAGATAACAGGGCAAACCAGGTATATGTAACTGATTACCTCCAGCTGTAGAACTGGTGTAGCTTAGAATAACAAATGCTGCTGACAAGTCTATTAAGATTTCTTAAATGAAATGAAGAATCAAATAGAACTTCACAAAACACAAATTTGTGGGTGTGAATCAGAAAAGCTAGAATGCAAAAATTATGCCAGAATGCTAATTATTTTCTATTCTGGCAAATTTTCTTCAGTTTCTCCAGTATACTGCATTGGTCCTTATTTGAGACTTCAATGATTGACATTTTTTTTACAACCACAACAGATGGTAACATAATAAAATGCCAAATTTATACCGTTTGGAAAGACTCATCTCTATGATTATATCATCTCATTTCAGCAGAGTTGCAACAGGCCAAACCATATCAGCATCATCCCTTTACTGATACTTTCTTTCTGCCTCTTCTTCAAGCATAAAAAGAAATCACTCAAGTAAGAAAAGGTGGTAGTTATTACTCCTCTCCTATTGAGTTGAGTCTTGGATTTATGTTGACATTGCTGAGGAAAGCCTGGTTTGGGTTACCAACATTAGAAAAGTGCCTTCAGAGCATTGGAAGGGGTGTTGGTCTTACCTGATACGCTCCTTCTTCTCGCTGTTCTGAGAGAGAATCCAAGGAATGGGTTAACTTTCTGCTCGGAAACTGAGTCTATCTAACTTCTGGCCATGTCTCCTTTGCCTGTGCGTATCTCCAGTTTCGATGAAGGTGTAGTGATAGACTTGATGCGTTTGTGTCTAGATTTTGGTCACTCCTGTACTTTGGACTAGATGGTCACCAGGGTGGGGTTGAATTATCCCTCAGCACACTGAGAAGGAGCGTATCAGGTAAGACCAACACCCCCTTCTCCAGTGTGCTGAGTGCAGAATCCAAGGAATGAGACATACCAAAGCCATCTGTCCTAAGGGTGGGTAGCAGTCGGTCCTGGGTCCCCAAGTCCGTATGCACTCTCTAGAATACCCCTCTTCCAAAGGTCGCTTCAGCAGAGGTGAATGTGTCCAGCTTGTAGTGTTTTACTAATGGGGATGGAGGACCATGTTGCTGCTCTACAGATTCTCTTGATAAGAGGCCCATGTCGCCCACGCAGCTGTTGTGGCCACTCTTCTGGTGGAATGGGCTGTCACCCTACTAGGTAATGGGAGAGCCTGAAGCTCAGAGACTTTGGCGATGCATGCCCGTATCCATCAGCCTATGGTCAGTACTGTAATTTTGTTGCCCAGCAAAGAGCTGAAAGGAAACAAGCAGGGACTCTGCTTTTCTAAGATAGGTCACCCTCTTAACGCAGGTGCGTAGGATCCTCCTAATATTCAGGGTGTGCCACTTTTTCTCCAGGGCATGGGTCGGGTCTGGACAGAGTCAGGCAAGATTATTTCCTGTGCTCTGGGGAACTAGGAATTCATTTTGGGAAGGAAGGAGGAATCCAATCACAGCATCATACTGTTTGAATGGAATATGCATAGGTGCTCTCTCACAGAGAGGGTCACTAACTCACCTGGCCTAGGTGATGGCCATTAGGAAGGCTACCTTAAGAATAAGGAAGCATAGGCTGATTGACCGTGATGGCTCAAACGGACTGAGTACAGTATTGGGGGACAGTGGATGGCTTTCTAGTGGCTTGATCGTCCATATGACTGTTGGAAAAATTGACCTCTGCTCAAGTACCAAGTAGTCAGTTGGAGCCATTGCGGCTCTGCATGAACTATGGCCTCCTGGCTGAGGGAGATTCTGTCCTGCAGAATCCTCAAGGGCCTGGACATCAACAAGTTTACTAGGTCAGCAAATTATGGTCATCTGGGCCAGTGCAGAGTCAGAAGGATGACCTCTGCTCTTTCTGCCAGCACTTTCCTGATTACCCCTGAGATGAGGGGAAGAGGAGGGAAGGCATAAAGTAGCTCTTGGGGCCATGGACTGCAGAGTGCATTGACCCCTTCTGCCCCCGATGTTGTGAATCTGGAAAAAAAACCTGGGCAACTGGACGTACGATGGAGTGG